TCAAACAGTCTCCAAGGGCTTGGTTTGAGAGATTCACTCAGGCTATGCTTAAATATGGCATCAAACAGAGCTAGGCAGATCACATTTTGTTTGTAAAACATTCCTTACGTGGTAAGACTATAGCACTCATTGTTTATGTGGATGACATAGTTCTTACAGGTAATGATAGTGAGGAAATACCTCTGTTGAAGAAATATTTAGCAAATGAGTTTGAAATCAAAGACTTGGGGAGCTTGAAGTATTTTCTGGGAATTGAAGTTGCTCGCTCCAAAGATGGAATATTTATCTCACAGAGGAAGTATGTGCTTGACCTATTGAAGGAAACTGGGATGCTTGGCTGTAAGGCCTATAACACTCTGCTGGAACCCAATTAGAATCTGGGAGATGATGAAGGAGGAGCGGTTGTTGATAGGGGGAGCTATCAGCGTTTAGTGAGTAAGCTCATCTATTTATATCACTCCCATTCTGATATTGCTGTTGCTGTCAGTGTGGTTAGCCAGTTTATGCATGTTCCTCATCAGATTCACTTCGAGGTTGCCATAAGAATTTTGCGGTACTTGAAGTCTGCTTCTGGGAAAGGTCTTTATTTTTTAAAGCATGATCATCTTCGTGTGGAAGCTTATACAGATGCGGACTGGGTTGGATCCGTAATTGATAGGAGGTCAACTTCAAGGTATTGCACCTTTATTGGAGGCAACCTAGTTACTTGGAGGAGTAAAAAACAGAATGTGGTTGCCTGGTCAAGTGCAAAAGCTGGGTTTAGAGCTATGACACAAGGGGTGTGTGAACTCTTATGGATCAAGTTATTGTTGCGTGATCTAGGTATTGATCAGACGGACTCCATGCGGTTATACTGTGATAATAAGATCGCCATCAATATCGCTCACGATCCAGTTCAACATGACAAGACAAAGCATGTTGAGATTGATCGCCACTTCATTAAGGAAAAACTCACTAGTGGCATAATATGTATTCTATTTGTGCAGTCTGGTAAACAACTCGCTAATATTCTCACCAAGGGAGTTGAGAGTAAGCCATTGCATGACATCCTAAGCAAGCTGGGCATGAGAGATATCTTCGCACCAGCTTGAAGGGGAGTGTTAGAATATTATTATTATTAGTTGGGTTATTATTCTATTGTAATTATTCTGTGCCTTAGGGCTTCCTTGTAATTATTAATCTTCATTAATATAAAAGGGAATGATGTCACAATCAAACCCGAATCACTTTCTCTAAAATATTTTATAGTTTGTCTTTATGTGGATGACATGACAAGATTAAATTCACAAAGAAAATGTTGAACAAAAAGTTTGACATGAAAGATCTGGGAGTAGCAGATGTAATTCTAGGAATAAAAATTACTAGAACATCTAAAGGATATACTTTATCTCAGTCTCATTATGTCGAGAAGATTTTGGAGAAATTTGGAAAGTATGACGTTCGTCTTGCTAAAACACCCGTTGACGTTAGCTTTCATTTGTCAAAAAATACAGGTGCAGACATATCACAATTAGAGTACTCTCGGATAATCGGAAACTTTATGTACTTAATGAATTGCACTAGGCCAGATATAGCCTATAAGCAAATTGAGTAGGTACATAAGTAATCCGAGGTCCGATCATTGGAAAGCGATAATTAGGGTACTTAGGTGTCTAAGACATACTCAGAATTATGGCTTACATTATACCAAATATCTAGCAGTACTTGAGGGGTATAGCGATGCAAATTGGATATCGGATACTAAAAACTCAAAATTCACTAGTGGATACGCCTTTACCTACGGAGGTGCTATAGTCTCTTGGAAATCTTCCAAGCAGACATACATAGCAAGGTCGACAATGGAATCTGAGTTTATCGCATTAGATAAAACAGGAGAAGAACCAGAATGACTTCGTAATTTCTTAGAAGACATTCCAATGTGGCCTAAACATGTGCTAGCTATATGCATTCACTGTGATAGTGAAGCAGCAATAGGGCGAGCACAAAATCATATGTATAACGGTAAGTCTCGACACATTCGTCAAAGACATAATACCGTTAGGCATTTGCTCTCACATAGAATAATTTTCATAGAATATGTAAAGTCAAGGGAGAATATTGCGGATCCGTTGACTAAAAGGCTAGCTAGAGAGCAAATGTACCATTTATCGAGGGAAATGGGATTAAAATCTATTACTTAAAAGTCGCCATAATGACAACCCAACCTAGTTGACTGGAAATTCCAAAATCTAGGTTCAAAGAGACAACCGAATTATGGATGACTTCACGTATTACTAAGGAGATTTACTCCTACCCATTTCTATGATAAGAAGAGTGATACTAATACTGTTAGTAGGATAAGCTTTGCGTTTAATGATTCTAATAGCTTGGACATCCAAGTGAGGTATAGCAAGATATTAATAAGAAGTCACCTATATGAGTGTGAGCTGGGCCGGTTCTGTGAGAATAGAGAAGGCTAAATTCTCTAGAGCACTCATGAATTACCAGGTGTTGTTCAGGGCCAAAATGAACACAACCGTAAGAACCAAACTGTGTCTGTAGTCTATTGTCTTGGCTTACATGAACAGCTAAACAGTTCAATGCATCACGTCCATTGGCTAGCCAGTAAGTCCGATAGGCTTTCACTAGAGGAGATTCAAAGCCAAAAGCTACCTATCTCGATGTTGTGTACCTTCTTAATGTACTCTTTCTTTGTCTGCATCTTGTTGCATGTCCGTTATCATGAATTCTATTCATGTGGGGGATTGCTAGAAAATGACTTTGAAAAAATCTTATTTTTTGCTAACTTTGAGCATTAATTAAGGTAGGACCCAAGCGTTATTTTTAACGTTTCTAATTGGGTTTGTGTTTAATGCTGCGTAGTGAATAACATCTTGTATTTGGTTGCTCAAAACCATTTCCGAATGAATGAGAATTCAACGTGCATTTTCGGATTCATGGAAATGGCTTTTAGTGGATTTCCTACATATTTGTGAAATGTGCTTGTCTCACATTGAAAAGGCTTAAGGATTTGTATGGGTATATAAACTCTAGCTTGTGATACTTGGGATGGGCCCCAAGGAATATCCAAATTTGTGGAAGGGTGAGGTTATGGGTAAAGTGGGCTAGGCCCATTGGACCCAAAACAAAAATCACACGCGCACCGCCAGCCGTCTATCAGGTCAGGTAGACGGGCTAGGCTGGTTTAGGGCGCGGGGGTGTGGTGCGAGGTTGGGTCAGACTTGTCCGACCCAATCCTTATCTTTTTCGGCAAAAAACATTTGTATTTTATTTATTTATTTTTTAATTTTGGTTTCAAAATTCAAAATAAATTGGTCCAAATTTTTTCCTCCATCCAAATAGGTTTAAACTCCACCCAATCAGGTTGAAATTCAAACTGAACAAATCTGTTTCTGTCCAAACAAGTTTTCTACCTATTGAATCCAATCAAACAAGTTTTCTATCTGTTGAATCGTTCTGAACAGGTTTCTATCTGTTGAAACCTGTTCGGAAAAGCCACCAGTTATCTTATATAAAGCTTGCCATCCAGCAATTCATTTAATTCAATTTTTCCCTCAGATTTTTGTCTTTCTTCTTCCCTTTCCATCTTCCTGTTTTCTGCATTTGTTTTGCATTTATTTTTAGAAAGAAAAAGAGAGAGTCACAGCAAAGTTTTGGTTCGCCAGACTTGATTTTGTAGTGCTGCAAATCAAGTGTTAGTCGTTGCATACTGGGAAGTAGACGCCAGTAAATCTCGAAACACCGGAGTGAGGGCGAAATCTATTTTAAGGAGATTGTGTCCAACACAAGCTTTGACTTATAATTTCTATAAGCAATTGATTCGGAATTTAATTTATATAATTATTTTTCTGAATTATTTATTTTTTATTTTGTTGTTTATTTTATTTATACATTTATTTACACATACACACATCCACTGTGGGAATAACAATATATATACATATATATATGAAGAAAAAAAAGGAAAAAACCAAGAACACACAGATATCAGTTGGAAGTGGACACTGGACACAAGCAATTAGATTCTATTTAAGAACACATGTCAATTGGCCATGCTGCAACTCACAAAAAACTTTTGAATGTAATCCGGTGATACTGCAGATCCAGTACTGTAATAGAATGTCCTGGTTGCATGGATAAAATGTTAGAAAAGAATTTTTTTTGAATTTTTTTATGGTTACATTGGAGGGGAGGGGGAGGGGAACATGTGATTTCCTAGTGAGTGATACATAGGTTTTGACTTGGCCTCTTGACTAATCCCATTGGTTTGAAAACAAGTTAGTTACATTGTAGGTGAATTTTCCAATTTTTGACGTCCTATGGGGATTCACTATGTTACTATGAAGACTTTGGTGGACTGTGGGACTGACAAGGAAAAAGCTAATCCAGCTAGCTGTTTCAAATCAATCATTGGTAATTTACAGAGGAAGACCAGAGAGAGAGAAAAACAACATTTAGTGAGAAAGGAATCCCATGCATGTGCCATTTAAAAAAAAAAAAAGAAAAAAAAAAAACACCCCATGAAAATGTTTCAGTTTGAGGGGGGAAAAAAGAAAATAACTAGAGCCTTAGCATCAACTAAAGTCATGAATCCTGTTTCATTTTTTCACTATGTCTAAGGCCGTACTTCTGTTAAGCGGCCTGGTTTCATGGCTTTCCTCATTGTCTCAACCACATTGGTTCTGGTCCATACCTATTCCCTGGCATTACTCTGTTTGAACCAAGTAAATTTTATTTACTGCGGTGAAATTCAATTTTCCTAAAATTTTGTTTCATCATTTTTAGCAATTCCATGTTGAACTGAACTGCAGGCCTGATTTTTCTGTCTGACACAGCATCTGAAAATAAGGTTAGATCATGATGAAAACATTTGCATAATACTTAATGGTGAACCAGATTAAAATTTATCGTTCTTTATCTTTGAAAAAGTAGAATTTTTTTAATTTTTTTTGTCTCCTTTCTGGCTCTCTTATTTGCCGATTTACTCTTCAATGTCGTAGGAGAAGTTCAGAGTAGCTGTGTTGGTTTCACAAGCTGCCCTTCAGTTCATCCATGGTATGAATATTTAAAATGTACTAAAATGTGAAGTTTGCAATATTATTGTTTTTTTCATGTTAATTTTTATGTAAATGTCTCTAGGTATAGCATACACTGTACCAGAGGAAGTCAAAGCTGCGGGTTTTCAAATTTGTGCTGACGAGTTAGGATCCATTGTCGAAGGCCGTAATGTTAAGAAGATGAGAGATCATGGTGGGATTGAGGGTATTGCAAACAAGCTCTCCACATCAACCATCAAAGGTATTTCTACTTCCGAGGATTTAATGAGCCGAAGAAAAGAAATTTATGGGATTAATAAAATCACTGAAAGCCCAGCCAAGGGTTACTGGGTTTTTGTGTGGGAAGCTTTTCAGGATACGACCCTCATGATACTTGCTGCTTGTGCCTTTATATCTCTAATTGTTGGCATAACAATGGAGGGATGGCCAAAGGGTGCCCATGATGGACTTGGAATTGTTGCAAGCATCCTGTTGGTTGTATTTGTCACTGCTACGAGTGATTATAAGCAATCTTTGCAGTTTAAGGATTTGGATAAGGAGAAGAAAAAGATTACAGTTCAGGTTACTAGAAATGGATACAGGCAAAAGATCTCAATATATGATTTACTTCCTGGTGATATTGTTCATCTCGCTGTAGGAGATCTGGTCCCAGCTGACGGACTATTTGTTTCAGGATATTCTTTGTTGATAAATGAATCTAGTTTAACAGGAGAGAGTGAGCCAGTTTATGTGACTGTTGAGAAGCCTTTTCTCCTATCTGGAACTAAAGTTCAGGACGGGTCGTGTAAAATGCTTGTTACCACTGTTGGGATGAGAACGCAATGGGGAAAACTGATGGCTACCCTTAGTGAAGGAGGAGATGACGAGACCCCATTGCAGGTTAAACTGAATGGAGTAGCAACCATTATTGGGAAAATAGGACTGTTTTTTGCCATCATTACATTTTCTGTTTTGGTTCAAGTATTGTTTAGCCGCAAGCTGCAAGAAGGGACCCATTGGAGTTGGTCGGTAGAGGATGCCCTAGAAATGCTGGAACACTTTGCTATTGCTGTTACAATTGTTGTGGTTGCTGTCCCGGAAGGATTGCCTTTAGCTGTGACATTGAGCCTTGCTTTTGCCATGAAGAAGATGATGAATGACAAGGCACTTGTTCGCCATCTGGCTGCTTGTGAGACTATGGGTTCCGCCATGAGTATCTGTAGTGACAAGACCGGGACACTAACTACTAATCACATGACTGTTGTGAAAGCTTGCATTTGCGGGCAAATCAAGGAAGTTAGTAGCTCTGTAGAGACTTCTACTCTTTGCTCAGGGATTCCTGATTCTGCCTTGAAAATGCTACTTCAATCCATATTTAACAACACTGGGGGAGACATCGTTCAGAATGAAGACAACAAAATTGAAGTCCTGGGAACCCCTACTGAAACAGCTCTATTGGAATTTGGGTTGTTGCTTGGTGGGGATTTCCAAGCAGAACAACAAAAATCAAAACTTGTAAAAGTTGAGCCATTCAATTCTGCAAAGAAGCGGATGGGGGTAGTTTTAGAGCTTCCTGGAGGAGGTTTCCTTGCACATTGTAAAGGTGCTTCTGAAATAGTTTTGGCTGCATGTGACAAGGTTATAGGCTCGAATGGTGAGGTTGTTCATCTTAACGAGGCATCCACCAATCATCTGAAGGGTACAATTGAAAATTTTGCTAGTGAAGCTCTTCGAACTTTATGCATTGCTTATAAGGAACTGGGAAATGAGTTTTCTGCTGAAAGTCCTATTCCCTTTGAGGGGTATACTTGTATAGGAATTGTTGGAATTAAAGATCCAGTTCGTCCTGGAGTCAAGGAGTCTGTTGCAATTTGTAGATCAGCTGGCATTAATGTGCGGATGGTTACAGGAGACAACATAAACACTGCAAAGGCAATTGCTAGAGAATGTGGTATCCTGACTGATGGTATAGCCATTGAAGGCCCAGAATTTCGGGTAAAGAGTGAGGAGGAGTTGCGTGAACTTATTCCAAAAATTCAGGTGCTTCTATATTTGTAATTGAATCATTCTGGCTGCTTTTAGGGTTTCCAAGAAACAAATTTGGGGATGAATGGATTTTGAAGTCTCCTAGAGTTCAGAATGCAACTTCCACAACCATCAATGATAGGACCAATTGAACATGTAGTTCTTTTTGACTTTACGGTTGAACTGACTCTTAGAAAAAGAGTGCTGTATCTGTCTTGTGCAGAACGGGGGAAAAGGTTCATTTTTTGAGGTTTAAAACTGGCACTACATTTCCACATGCTTTTTTCGCCCAATAAAGGGTATCACCAGGGCAATCATCCATGCAAATGCTGTTCTTCCTGGTCTGCTGTTCTTGAACTTTTGAATTGCAGTATTGCATTTTGGACAAAACTTTCATTTTATTTTTTTTCCTTGAAACTTTTTGACAAAGGCAATGTATGGGTTATTCAAAAGACTCCAAACTAAAAGCAAATATAGCAACACCAATAATGACTCTAGGACAATATAACCAAAACATGCCATCAGCTAACTTTGAAAATCATTATTTGAAGTTGGTTCTAAATACACTTTCTGGTCATTTATATACTCAGCAGAAATTCTTTCAGCAATCAATATCTTATATTTTTTCTTGTGCAGGTAATGGCTCGATCCTCACCTATGGATAAACATACACTGGTGAAACATATACGAACAATCTTTGAAGAAGTCGTTGCAGTCACTGGAGACGGCACAAACGATGCTCCTGCGCTTCATGAAGCAGATATTGGGCTTGCAATGGGTATTGCGGGAACTGAGGTGATTATTAAGTTCTGCTGTTTTATTCTTATTCTTGCCCGTGAATAGAACTTCCTTTAATAAAGATGGATTTCCAATTTATAACATTTTAGGACTTCTTAAAACCCCTTTTGTTTTGTCATTTCTACAATGTTATCTGTGAAAATCCAACAAACATGGCTTCAAGTTCAGATGGGATTGTTATGGGGTTGATGTCTGCACACAATATGTTTTGGTATGTGTGTGGTGGTGGTTTGGATTTGGTGGTGGAGGATGATAGAGGACAGACAGGAAAAATGGAATTTGTCTATATTATTTTATTGGATAAATTATAAATACACTCCTTGAGGTTTAATTAAAGGAAAATTTACCCATAAGTCCTAGTTTTTGAAACGTTGAACCATTTAGTCCTAAAAGTTTTCTTATGCTCCATTTAGTCCCATTTTTACATCAACATGATGTGAATGATGTAAATGATCTGATGTTTCATTCTATAATTTCAAAATTTATTGAAATCTGATGAACATTAGATGTTTTTCATCCTATATTTTCAAACATTATTGAAATTTGATGAATATTAGATGTTTGAAATCCAATGTTTGTAACATGACTCTGATGTTATTAACATTGTATCTGATGTTATTAACATTGTAATGAGACTTTTCAGTCTATAAGAAAATTTTTAGGACTAAACAGTGCATAAGTTATTAATTTGGGATTTATTGGTACATCCCCCTTAATTAAAATACGAATCGCCTCCTGTGGTTTTAAAAATTACATTTCACTCCTGAGGTTTCTAATTTCATAACAAATCGCCCCTTTTATTAATAAATTATCAAGTTAATTAACAATTTTTAATAATGTTAGAAATATGTTTCAATTAATAATTTAGGTAATTTTATTATTATATAGGAGAGTAATTATGAATTTTTTTTTTTTAGTTAATTCTGTTAAATAAAAAATTCTAACAAGGGGGTATTCGTAATTTTTCAAACCACAGGGGACAATTTGTAATTTAAGCAAACCTCAATGGATATATTTGTAATTTACCCTATTTTATTTTTCCATGTTTAGGATTATTTGAGGAATAACCTAGCTACTTCTCTCAATTAACCATTGCAAATCAAGATCTTTGGGAAAGTAAATACTGCTTGCAATTTAGTTTTGGAAATTCCTTAGGAACTTTTTATACTGAAGTCCATCATTGTAGCTTACGGAAAGATTAATCTTCCATTGATTTTATATCAATAAACTTCTCAGACCGTATATGATATATATGTTATATGTTAACATATATCTGTAATATCACAAGAGGCTTGAGTGGGAAAGCAGGATCGGCCTTGATAAGTTTCGACTAGGAATCATAGATGACAGTGCTCATGACCCCAAAAACAAGAGAGAATAATAAAAAGAAGGGAGGTATATCATAAATGATAGAATTGTTCTTGGAGGCATCCGATTGTCCTTTGGAGATCCTGATGCCCCAACTTTTGTCTCAGAAGCCATTGTGTTTCTTTTGATTGGATTGATCTTGTTGATCTTGCAACTGGTTGTGAAGATATTGCCCCGTGTCTTCTTCTAGTCCTGGTTCTTCTTCTTGTTTTCTTTTAAACAAATTCTCACCGTCCTGTGCTTTGTTCTTACATATTTGAAATCAGTAGAAAATTTTTATTAAGTTATTAAATTATTCATGACTTTTTAGGTGGCTAAAGAGAGTGCCGATGTCATAATTCTAGATGACAACTTTTCCACAATTCCAACTGTGGCCAAATGGGGACGCTCGGTATACATAAACATTCAAAAGTTTGTTCAGTTTCAGCTGACAGTCAATGTGGTTGCCCTAATTGTCAACTTTTCTTCAGCTTGTTTGACAGGTAAAGCAATCCTGGCCTTAATCACTCTCTATATCCAATTTCATTAAACATCATGTTTCTCATAACACTATCCTTTTCTCCCGTTTTCTTTCTCATTTACTGTATGCTACCAGGAAGTGCTCCCCTCACTGCTGTTCAGCTTCTATGGGTCAACATGATCATGGACACACTAGGAGCACTTGCACTAGCAACCGAACCTCCTAACGATGACTTAATGAAGCGACAACCAGTTGGAAGGAAAGGAAACTTCATTACTAACGTTATGTGGAGGAATATTTTGGGGCAGTCGATATATCAGTTTATCATAATTTGGTATCTTCAGACATCAGGAAAAACAGTCTTTCATATTGAAGGCCCAGATTCTGATCTGATTCTAGACACACTTATTTTCAACACGTTTGTCTTTTGTCAGGTAACTTCTAATTTTTTTAAATTTATTTAGATGATGTTTTCTGTAATGAATAATATCCTTCTGCTGTGTGCATTCACTACTACAATTGTTAGTAATGTTGTTTCCATAAATTAAACTGATACTAATGCTTCTTTTACCCTTTATTAAGCCCCGTTGATGGCCATTATTGATAGTGCAAAGACAATTCATTCTTCAGAACTGACCAAATCCCTTTTTGATGTGATTTTACACTTAATAAATGAACTTGAAGGTTAAGTTATTGATGGTGTTATTTATTTATTTTCCAATATAGCATGATAGACGGCTTTACCTGCATTTGAGTGAAAGTGTGCAACTTTTCATTCATGAGAACTTACATCTGTTTTTCTGATCTGGGTAATGATTGGCTGATGTAAAATATATAATTGTGAGCATTGTCTGCATCAAAATCCATAAATCCCAATGATTTCTTCAAAAGACAAATTAATTTACCAAACATGTTCGTGACTTGTGACAGAATGCCTTTTTTTTTCTTCTTCTTTCCCTGCAGGTTTTCAATGAAATAAGCTCCAGAGATATGGAAAAGATAAATGTCTTCAAAGGCATACTGAACAACTATGTATTTGTGGCAGTACTCGCTTGCACGGTCCTCTTTCAAATTATTATCATCGAATTTCTTGGTACTTTTGCAAACACTTATCCTCTCACTTTGCCTCTATGGTTCGTGAGCATTTCTCTCGGATTCCTTGGCATGCCTATTGCTGCTGCCGTAAAGATGATCCCTGTGGGATCTTCATAAAACTCAGGCGAAGCAAACAGATACTTTCCACTTGCCCCCAATGTCACAGTAGTAGGGAGCATCACAGCCACCAATAGCATTTCTCATACAGTAAAGTTGCAGCCGGGCAAATTTGAAGCCTGAAGAAGATCTACCACACAACATACATTGCTAAAAAAGTCTCATACTTCTGTAAGAATCTTTTGGGCTTAATGTTAAAGTTACTTTCAAGTATGCTAACAGAACACTACGAAATTTTTGTTGACTAGTTTGGCTTAATCTTAAAGTTACTTTCAGGTATGCTAACATTAGAAATGGATTTGCTCCCCATGTTTACGCTTATTTGATATTTTTTATTCTATTTTATTTTTATTTTTTTGGTGTTTTGGGTGGGGGGGTGTTGTGTGTGTCTTATTTACAGTGTTTGTTCAATGTTTTAGCAATTGATCTTTACTTTTAATTATACATGCGTGCGTGCTCACACACACACAAACCCTAGCAGGATCAGAAGAAATAAAAGCAGAGAAACAGTATATTGGAATCCCATCAGTGGTCGCCTTATGACTGTAGCAAATCTGTCAGGTGAAAAAAACAAAGGAGAGAGAAAGAGAGAGAGAGAGCGAGAGGGGGGGTGTTAAATTAAAGGAAACACTATGTTACACACTCCTTCAAAGGGAAACAATATGTTACACACTCCTTCAAAGGGTTTGTACTATATGCACGTATTGCATATTTTTGTCATAAATGTTATGTATTTTTGTGATAAATGTTATGTATTTTTCTAATAGGATAGGAGTTACGATAATTTGTGATTTAGAAATGAAATTATACACTTTATGGTAGTGTTACACATTTTTGTGGTAATGTTATACATTATTTTATCCAAATATTTTCTAACCATAAAATGTGTGATGATACTATAAAATATGTAACAATGCTACCAAAATGCGTAACTTTATTTTTCAATCACAAATTATTGTAATTCTTCTACTAGAAGAATATGTAATATTTGCTACAAAAATACATGACACACCACAAAAATACGTAAGATCATCCCCAAGGGAGGAGGCAGTAGGGCCACATGAGGTATTTTAGCTAGTTAAGTTGGTTTTCTCTTCTTCCAACAAGCTCTGCATTTCAAGAGGCATTTTGTCTATTTTCATTTTTGCTCTCCACATCTAGTTAGCCTCCATTGCTAGGCAAAACGGTTTTCAAACTGTTTTGAGGACTTCATCTTTACTTGCTCTCTCAATCATTTATTGCATCTCTGTTTGTTTAAGCTCATTGTTATTTTTAAAGATAATTTAATTATATATTTAAATTTTTTTTGTCAATGTTAAGTCAATACTAGATGCATAAACAACATATTATCAAAAGATTTTAATTTTTTATTTATGTTTATAGTATTTTTCCTTTAAAATTAGTTAAATTTGTTTGATAGATTAATTAAAATAAAGAGTATGGTTAGAATGCACACTAACTAAACTAGTTAGGTAAAATAAACATTGTACTTTTCTGTGTACTTTTAGAAGACATTTTGTCTAAGGGTCTAGCTTGTCTCAAGTTGAGATCAAGACTGGACCCGTCCAGTTCGGCCCATGGGATCTATTTTTTGGGCTCGTTTTGATAATCTGAACCGTTCAATATGTAGAACTCGTCGAGTACTATATGCCTGTAAAAAATCACGTTGATCAGATATCAATAGCTATGCGATCAAATCAGTTTTGTATAAAAAAAAAAAATGGACGGTGAAACAATTAACGATTGATAAAAAACTGTTTTGTTCATATAGCTATCGATATCCGATCAACGTGATTTTTTACAGGCATATAGTACTCGACGAGTTCGACACATTGAACGGTTCGAATTATCAAAACGGGACCCGTGGTTGGCCCCCACGAGCCCAACAACACGGTCCAGTCCGATCTTGGACTGGACCAAAGCCACTGCCTTCGTGTAATACTCTTCAAGTTACTCTTAACAAAGTGTATATAATACACATCTTTGGAGAAATATGTAGCATAGAAATAAATAGACAGTACATTTTTCACAGCAGATGAAATCAAGATACTTTTCTTTCTTTTTTTTTGCCAGCAAAGTCACAAGTAAAGCAGTCAAATATTATTTTACTTGCCCAGTTTTGACTGCACAGCAATGATCTCACCCCCTCTGATTTTGTAAGAAATGCCAAACGAAACACTAAAAAGGACTTGGACTTGATCTCGCCCATATCTTGAATTGCAGTCAAAAGATACTGTGAAGGAGAAAATGAATAACTCTCTTACATCATCTATATTGAAAATTAAATTGATCAAATATTGATAATTATATAATTTGGTAAATAATTTATTTTTAAAATTATATATGAAAAATGACATTGTCACATTATATAGTAAAGCATAAATTATATTAATCATATATATAAGTTTTCCATAATGATAGAGTTTTCCATATAGCAAAGCACTAATCACATTCCCATCAAATGTCATGCCAACAATTTTGTCACATAAAGATCTATTCAATTAATAAATACATAATCAACATAGAAAGTCCTATTGATTTCCACAAATGTCTTGGTTTTAATGAACCCTCAACACCAGACCAAAGCTTCACTTCAAAGGGGGAAATAAGACAGGTCCCACTTTTAAAAGGTATGCCCCAAACATTCAAGCAAATCCAATCACATTCACCTTTACAACCTTGTTTGATGGCCCAACATGCAACACAGAAACATCAAATCACCCAAACAGAAGCTCCCCAAATCCCCCTCCCTCTCCTCTCTTGACTCTTCTCAAGTCCTCAATTGCTTTTCAAAGACATGAAAAGCATCCCAAGCACACCCCAATCATCAAAAGTTAGGGCTGCAAAGGATGTTACAACACCCAAAAGATATAGAAAAAAAGCAAAGATTGAAAGAAATAAAACAAATTGAACAAGTGACACAAACTAAGAATGGTTGTTGTTGTACAAAGCACCTTTCATGTCCTATCTTAGGGACCTCCGCTCCACTTTGTTGTGAAACATTTGGACCCAAAAAAACACTTTCCTTGTTGCCTAAAGCATTGCTTTTATTTCCCTTTTCCCCTTCTTTCCTTCTCTTCCTTTCTTTTATGTGTTGCTGTCCAGAAACCCAATCAACTCCAAAATCATACCCAAGAAGTGATGAGAGGAAACAAATATATAAAAATTAAACCACTCATTAGGCTAATAATCACTTAGCATTCCTCTATCGCTGCTGCTGCCGCTTCTCGTCTGGTACGCCGTAATTTTGATCACAACCACTGATTGTAAGCCTCTTTCTCTTAGTGCTCAGAGCAGAAGTAACAGAAGAATTTTCAAAAGCATCTCTCAATCCCGGTGACTGGTCCGCCGATTTTATACATTTGGGTATTGTGATTTTCCCCATTTCCAGTTCTTGCATTCGATTATAGCAAGAAAATACATCCTCCTGTTAGCCCCCCCACCCACCAAAAAAAAAAGCACCAAAGAGGTTGAAATCGAATACAAACTGATCAAAAACACAGTATATACATATATATAGAATTGGACGGATAAATATGAGAATGATTACTTACAATTTCAAGAAATCTACTTGGAGAATGATTACTTACAATTTCAAGAAATCTACTTGGAGATAAGGCATTGATCTTAAGCTCCAAGGCCTGTCTTGCTAATTTTCCATCCAATGCCACCAATGCGGCTGCCCCGGCTATGACTGATGGTCGATGAGCCATTAATTTTGCATCTATGCATACATAATTAATGCGGATAAATAAGTAATAAGAATCCAACTTAATCAATTAAGTTTCATGAATGTGGCTTTTAATTAGTTACCTCTCATCATAGCCAAGATAAGATGTCCAATTCTAGAGATTATATTCCTTGGTGGAGATTGATCTTTGCAGAACTTGGTGATGAAATAATTAATGTAATCAAAAGGAGTGACTGAACTCAATCTCCATTCCAATGTATTCAATACCAAAAGCTCCATTCTCTGAATCACTTTGCTCTCCAAGTTGTAATCTTCAATATCCCGATACTCCGACACCGCTGGTGCTCTGCACTCCTCCATCTTTGCAGCCAATGATAAACACGCCAACGATAGCAACCGAATCGCCCAATCTTTTTTATTCTGCATCACAAAATTCCCCAAAAAATATATATAATTTTACAAAAAAATCATAATTGAGATTAGAAATTAAAAAACTTACATCGATGAATCGCTTCGAAAGAAACCGATCAAAATAGATCACTGATAAGTAAGCAGTTTGAAATCGAAATCCGAACAAGGCTCTAGTCTGGATTGAGATTACAAGAAAAAAAAATTAAATTAAAGCAAATCAAGTTATATATCTTATATAGATTGGTGTGTGATAAAGAATTGAATGGATTTGGGGCTGACTTTGAGAATCCAAGTGATGGCGTCTAAGCGAGAGCATTCGATCCAGCTATCGATCGCGGCGAGGTTTGAAGGTTCGGATTTCGATTGGCGACATTGGAGTCCAACACTGAGCTCTCTGTGAAGCAACATTTGTACGTATTCATCATCATCATCATCATCTTCTTTTTCTTGACTAGTGTCTGAAACAACAGAGTAATTAGTTGTGAGGTCAATGAAGGTGGTTTCATCGTCTAGCTGTTGTTGGTCTAGGCAAGTCTCAGATTCTTGACAGAGGAGAAGCTGGCTAGAGAGAGAAGGTGTAGAGAGAGAATCATAATTTTCCATTGCATACTTTTATTATTCTCTCTCTCTTTCTCTCTCTCGTTGTGCAACGAAACAGAAAATATAGGATAGTGGTAATCATCAACTGCTAAATCCACGATTTGGAGAGAGAGAATGACGATTGTCTACCATGATTTAGAAACAAAGAGGAGAGAGAGAGAGAGAGAGAGAGAGACCGTTCCTCCAAATTTAGCGGGGATGTGACGCTTTGTGTGTAACGGCTCCGTCAATTATATCCCACGGAGCAGGCTCCACCCCAGTCGCGTTTTCGACCAAGTATTGAACAGTTTATATCATTGATGTAAGTTTTGTGGTGTGCTCATGAAATTTCAATAGTACCCATCAATTTATTTTGGACTGGAAATGAGCTTCCTCCATATCGGAATATCTTTTGGCCATTGATAAATAAGGTTGGACCAACGTCGAGTCGGGTTAATATTACATAGTAAAGATTTTTTTGTTAGTCTAAGGCCTCGTTTGGGATGTTTCATTTTTAGCTAATTAGTTAAAAAGTTAATAAATTAGCCAATTAGTCATACCAAAAAATCAACAATTACGGCTTCTCTCTACTTTTTGCACAACTTTTCGTAATTAGTCAAAAAATCATCCCAAACATACAAGTTTTTTTTACCTACCTTTTTAGCCAATTAGTCAAAAAGTTACTAAATTAACATGTTCCCAAACAAGGCCTAAGTCCTGTTCGATCCTAAGTCGGGTCTCTATATCTGTCTAAGCCTAATCTAAAAAATAATTATAAATCATAAGTTCACCCATCGGACTATATGTTAAAAAAAATTAAAATATTTAATAATTAAATTCAATTACACATCACCACAAATGTAAGTTTCGATAAAATCAACAAAGATAAAGTTTAGTCTCAAAATATACATATAATATATTATAAATAAATAATTAATTAATTAATTAGCGGATCTATGATCCCTAACATTACTTGTATACATGTATTAGATCATCAACCAAGATGGCCACCAAAGACATTTTTGCTTTTGTCATTAAAGACACATGATTATATTTTGAAAGATGGTTAAAAATTGATTTTTTTCAATTTTTTTTCTTTAAAAAATGTATAAAAAATATGAATGATAATATGAACCAAAATAAATTAAAAGCATGAACCCAAACAGTTATGCTGCAGACCCCCAGTGAAGTGGCAAGCCCCCACTGGTTGAAACTCAAAAAAAAAAAAAAAAATAAATAAAACAATTTTTTTTTTACCCAATCAGCACCTGCCACCTCACTGGGGGTCGACCCCAGTGGGGGTCCGAAGCATTAATCTACTTTTCATTACTAAACATTTGGCACTTGTTAAGCTGTCTCTTAATAATCCAATAAAAAATATTGAATCTCATAGTTTTAATTAATAATTCAAGTTGGAGGGCCAAGTGACAATGTCCTAGACAATCATAAAATTTTTTTCTATTAAGGGTATGTTTTGTGTTATTTTTTTTTATTTTTTAAATAAATTAAAATTTAATAAAAAAGGCCTTATATAATGCAACTTATAGTATTATTTATAATTTTATTTTTTGAAAAAAAAATTAAAGAATTATGTGTTGAAGTATTTGGTATAATTTTTGTTCACCACTTATGAAGTAAAAATTATATAATTTGAAGGGAAAAAAAAATAGAAAACAGCGGAACGGATATTTTTAATTTATATTTTTTAAATATCAACTTTTAACATGTGAAAAGTTGTACTAAACAAACTGTACGAAAGTTTAAACCAAAAAAAAAAAAAAAATCATTCTTTTAACTTTTAAGTTATTAGAGTCTGTTTATTTTCAAAGATAAATTGGATGGAATTGTTAGTGACGAGATTATTAGTAGGAGGATTGTTAGTGAGGGAATTAAGAAAAATTGTATTGTACAACAGCTAGTGGACTAACAATAGTTTATGTTTGTTTTTAGAGATATGAGAGAGATTAACAATATAAAATCCCACAAATACCCTTGTTGCATTACTTTCAAATTTGGGTTTGTACGAACTAATAAATGCATTACATATTTTAATATTAAAAATATATTTTATAAATATTAAAATTATATTTTAATATTAAAAATTATATTTCATAAAAATATATATATATATATATATATATATTTTGGTACTATTTTATTTTTTTAATATAATTTTTTGGGTATAAATATTATTATACTATTATATTTTTATGTTAAAAATTCCTTTTATATTAAATTATTTTGATATAAAGAACAGTGGAGTAAAAAATGGTGGAATAAATTTTTTTTTTTTTTAAAAAAGATAGAAAAAAGATCATACTAATCAAGTAGAGTAAGTAAATTAAATAGGATAATAGAAGGCAAAATAGTAAATCTTCCTCTAATCCCAAGGGATTATTTTTATAATACCATCTCCCATAAGGGACTACTAATCCTATCCATGGAGATCTATTATAGGCCCCGTTTGTTTTCAGAGGTAGAATGGAAGGGATTCATAGTAAGGGGATTGATAGTGAGAGGATTAAATAAAGGGGTATTTTTTTTAAGGTCCCTGATATTATGATTTTATAGTAGAAAGGACATCAAATATTTTCATGATGTCTAAGGTCCCTCAACATCAATCCAGAGAAATTTCAGTCCTAGAGAAAATTGGTCCAGAGAAATTCTGGGAAGAATTTCTCTGGACCAACCCAGAGAAAATTTAGTTCAAAAACCAGAGAATTTCTCTGGTTTTAACCCAAAGAAAATTCAGTTAAAAAACCAGAGAATTTCTCTGGTTTCAACTTCAAATGAAACAAAATACTTAATTGATCCCAATTACTTAACTGAAACAAAATACTCATAACCTACCAGTTTTCAATATACAACAAATGTCATATTCATTCGATATATAAGATCATTCAATGCAGTTTACAGGTTAACAAAGAAAAATAATAATAAAAAAGAAATGACTGACAGATTCATATCAAATCTCCTAATCATTAGTTACCACTTCCATAATTACAAAGTAGCAAGTTTCTTGAAGGCCAATATCAGATATTGTTCCCTAAATTCTGAAGCCACGGGAGATAGAATGGAGGGGATTGATAGTGAGGGGATTAATAGTGAGGAATTGTTAAATTATTTTTATATAAAATAATAAAACAAATAAAAAATATAAAAAATTAAACATTAATATTTAAAAAAAATTCCCAATATATAAAAAATTAAAAAAATTAAAAAATTTCTAATCCCCTTACTATTTTTTTAATACCACCTCCACCTCCTCTATCCCAATCCTCCTTCCAACCTCCATCTTAATCCCCTCCTCCATCTTAATCCTTTCTTCAACTTTGCAAACAAACACAACACTAAATAACTCCACCTCTATCCCAATCTCCTTCCATCTATTACACCTCAAAACAAACGGAACCCATATAGTCCCAAGGTATTGTGAATTTCCTTTCCCATTTTGCAAACAAACACAATATTAGTAGACCCCACATCCATCCTAATCTAATCTCATCTCTTGTGGCCCTGTTTGTTTCTAGAGTTAGAGGATGGAATTAGGACTAGTAGTGAGATAGGATTCAAAAAATTGTGTTTGTTTTGGAAAGTGGCCATAGGATTAAGAGTCACATGAGACTATGAAAGGCCTTGGATGAGGGAACTAGTAGTGGCCAAGGGGAGGTGGTATTCAAAAATAAATCCTTGGGACTATGGGTTAATTGACTATTTTACCCTTGTGTTTATTGCTAAATTTGTTATAATACTTAAAATGAGGCTCATAATATGGCTCATATAATATTAAACACAAATAATTGAGTAAAATTTTATGAGACATTTACACACAAATCCTAATTTATGAATTTATACTCCATTAAGTTCTAATTAAAATTTTTTGGACTTTCAAGTCCTATTAAATTTGTAATAGTTAGAATAACCTTTCAAATAATGATTGTTCATCATTTATGATTATTTATAAAGAAATATGATAATTTGATATTTATTTTGATTTCCAAAACTTTAAAAATGAACTTTCAAATTGAAAAAAAATTAAATAAACTGAATTATTTTTTTTATACGAAACTAAAAATTTTATGTCTATAAAGAAGTATGATGATGAAACATGGTTGTGCAAAATTATAATTAAAAAAAAAACTTCAAAAATGAAAAAACTAATAATGTTTTTAGTTTTAAAATTGAAAAACCTGGATAATATTCTCGGTTTTATTGGATAATTGAATAAAACCAATAAGTAAAAAGATGAAAACGTTTAACCTCATTCTCTGTTTTTTTTATCAGTTAGTGAAATAATTATCTAGAACATTACTATGCAAAATTGATAATGTTTTTAGTTTTAAAAATTGAAAAAAACTAATAATATTCTCAGTTTTACTAAATAGGACTTATAGGTTTAAAAGATCTTAAATAGGACATGACCTACCGTAACATTTATAAATAGGACTTTTAGGTAATTAACTCAAATTTTATTTACAGTTTGATTCTTTAATATTTGCAAAAAAAAAAAAAAAAAAAAAAAAAAAAAAAAAAAAAAAAGAGAATAACATTGAGTAAAAATTTATTGATAGTTGGATTCATTAATATTAAAAATAAAAATAAAAAGAATAACATTGAGTAAAAAAAAATTGATTGTTGGATTCTTTAATATTTAAAAAAATACAATTTTTCATAATCTTCTTACTAACAATCTCTTTCATTCTACATCTGAAAACAAACGAGCCCTATAACCCAAAACAAACGGATCCTTATAGACAAAGGTTGTAACAAACATATAAAGTAGCATATTTCACATATATTTAGGGATTGCTTAGGAAGTATTAGATTAATATATTTTTGATTTTTTATGAAAAAAACATGAAATATAAATTGGATTTGAAATGATGTAATAGAAAGAATATATGACCCAAATAAAATTATTATAATCCAAATAAGATAATATGTTAAAATAGCATGTGCTATTTTAGCACATGCTAAACAAAAGCCTTAATATAAATCTTATTACCTTTATGGCCCCGTTTGGTAGAGCTGTGAGAAAGTGATTATAACTTATAGTTTAACAGCTTATAGGTTATAGCTGTGAACATAAGCTGATTTTTGACTTATAAATTAAGCTTCTCCTCTCCTACTCAAAGAATAAATTGATTTTTGACTTACAAAAAGCTATAAGCTGTGTTGTTAAGCTGAACCAAATACATCAAAATAGCTTAAATTAAGCTAAAAGCTGAAATAAGTTGAAAATAAGCCCTACCAAATAGGGCCATAGTAAAAAAAAATACTACAAAAATTATTTATATGTAAAGCAGTAACACATAATTGTTCCACATAATAAAATACATACTTGTCACAAATTAGTGAGTCTCACATGAAGACTCTGTTAGAAATAGTTTTGAAGTTTTGGAAAAATTTGATTTTTTCTTAACTTTGATCTATTTTTTAGGTAGGACCCATACGTCAAAGTTGGCGGATCTAAGTGATAACGCATTCTATGTCGCGTTGTGATTCACGTGATATATTTGGTTGCTCAAAACCATTATCGGGTGAAAATGGAGCTTTGGTGGAAATTTCTTAAAGGTGTGGTTTAAGGCTTGTCCCACATTGGTTTGGTGAAAGATTTTTGTGGATTCGTAACTTAGGAAGGGCCCCAAGCGGTACCTCAAGTTTGTAGAAGTGAGAGGTTATGGGCAAATTGGGCTAGACCCATTGGACCCAAAAATAAACTCGCGCGTGCGCGCCGTCACCGCCGTCCGTTTGGTCGGTCAGGTTGGCTAGGCTTGGGTGCAGGTACATGGTGTGAGGTTGGGTTGGGCTTGTCCGACCCATTGCTTATCTTTTTTGTCCAAAAATATTTGAATTCAATTTTATTTTTTGGTAAAATAAAATATGTCTAGTTTAAATTTCAATTTTTTTAATTCAAATTTGTTGCATCTCTTCAGAATTTTTGTACAGTTTCATATCTGTCCAAACAGATCCGAATTTGTCCAGATTCAAACCCAAAACAGTTTTTATCTGTTTGAAATTCAAACAGATCTGTTGATCTGTCCGAACAGGTACTATACCTATTGGATTCAAACCTAACAGCCACCATTTTCATCTATAAATACGCAATCCTTCACTTGGTTTTTGTACTCCAATTTCATCCCTAACTCTGCATACTCTCTTTGCATTTTGTTGCATTGTTTTCTTGTGAGAAAGAATGTTAACACAAAGTGTGTTTGTTGTACAAATAATTTGTAGTACTGCTATTATTCACTGTTAATAATTTTATCCTGAGAGATAGACATCCACATTCTGAAAGCACTGCAGAGAGGACAAATCTGTCTTAAGGACACAGTGTTAAACACTAAACTTGATCAGAAAATTTGTTCAACAAATTAATTTGGTAAATAATTAATTTACTTTTCTGTTTTATTATTTATTCCGTTTCATATTTTGATTTTGTTTTTGTAACAAAAAAAAAATCTGTTTTATTTATTTTATTTCATTTTCTGGTTTGATTTTTATAATCAAACAAACTCTTTCATTTCCTATATTTCTTTTGTATTCTGTTTGTTGTTTAGTACACAAATAGAATTTATTTCATTAAATACAGTGAAGATTGTCCAACAATTTTAAGACAGATTTTTTTATATGGTGTCTTCATTGTATTTAATTTTCTGTGCTTTCACAAAGTGATATTCTGGTTGAAAAATACAAATAGTAGTAATACACTGTTTGACAAATAGTAGTAATATACTGTTTATTTTCTTTGACAACTAGTAGTAATATACTGATATAATTAACAATTGCAGAATATTAATTTGTGTTACAGAAAAGTATTATGGTATTTTATTTTTCTAGTTTTAGTAACAAGGAAAATAAAATTATTTTGTGTTATAATTTATTTTCTGATTTTAGTAACTAGAAAATTAATTTGTGTTTTAGTTTTTTCTGATTTTTGTAATCAGATATTATAGCTGCTGAAAGTAGTACTTCAAATGTGATCGTTACAACGACTCCGGTCCTTATCCAAAACCATGTTCAAGTTTCGATAAATCATGGAGAAAAACCGAAAAAATTTAATGGCACTGAGTTTAAAAGATGGTAGCAGAAAATGTTATTCTATCTTACAACTCTAAATTTGGCCTGGTTTCTTCGTGAAGAGGCTCCAGTACTTAGAGAGGATGAAAGTGATTGGCAAGTTGTTGCCGCTATAGATGCTTGGAAGCATTCTGATTTCCTGTGCAAAAACTACATCCTCAATGGCCTTGACAACATGCTATATAATGTTTACAGCTCTCTGAAAACAACAAAAGAATTATGGGATTCTTTGGAGAAAAAAATACAAGACAGAGGATGTCAGTACAAAGAAATTTGTTGTCGGTTAATTTCCGGACTTCGTTATGATAGACTCCCAAACGGTAATTTCTCAAGTTCAAAATTTTCAATTAATTTTGCATAATATTCATTCTGAAGGTATGTCTCTTAGCAAGTCTTTCCAAGTCGCTGCTTTAGTGAAAAAGTTACCACCGACTTGAAAAAATTTCAAAAATTATTTAAAACATAAACGCAAGGAGATGGCCATGGATGAATTGATTGTAAGACTAAGAATTGAGGAAGATACCCGAAAGGCTGTAAAGAGGGATGATAAAAACCTCATTGGGTCCAAGGCTAATGTGGTTGAACAAGTGCACAAACCACATAATAAAAAGAGGAAGTTTACTGAAGATGGTCCTAAACAAGGCGACAACAATGGCAATAAAAAGTTTTGTTAATGTAAATTGTGTAAATGTAAATTACCACTACCACTCACTCCACCTACCACCTCCACTACCACCCACTCCACCTACCACCTCCACTACCACCTACACCTACTCCTCACCTACTCCCAAATCCACTGTAAGTGTGGTAGGTAGAGTTGAGTGTGTTAGGTGAGAGTTGAGTGTGGTAGGTAGATGTAAGTGTGTTAGGTGAGAGTTGAGTGTGGTAGGTGAGTATGTTTTTCTCTTATATATATAGGAGAGTGATTGTATACATTCAATAAGATCAACAACATACATCAATCAATAATATACATCAATTTATTTTTACATGGTATCAGAGCACTAAGATTTAGGCCTGTTTTTTTTCTCACCGGCGAGCAGCCGGCCGGCAACTTTGCCTTCGCTGCCCGCTGGAATTTTCTACACTTTACTTCGAGTTCTTCGCCATATTGCTCCCGAGTCTCAGGCGGGCTTGCCTTCATATCGCAGCCCGACTCGGAGCCTTTCTTGCACTGCCGAAGGAATACTTTAACCATCAGTCAGCAACCTTTTTCCGGCAAGTCGTTCGCCGGAAAGTCCATCGCCGCCGTACACTCCGGCCTCACCGACATCGATCAGCTGGCGGACACCCCCACCCGCTGCTCCCACCACCGTCGCGCCCAGTTAGCGACCTTCTTCCGGTTCCCCGACGACATCCTCCTTGACGACGACGACTTCCACCTCGCCTCCCTCGACTTCCCTTATGTTGCAGAACACCGTCCTCTGGCGCACGTACTTCTTCGACTTAAAGCTCTGCATCAGCTTCCTCACCTACAGATTTGGAACATCGATCTCTAGTTGCTTTGCAAGGTTGAAGTCCTTCTTCGCTTCGCACACTCCCTCTTGGAAGAGGTATTTGCAGATCTCTTTACGGTTCTTCTCTGGCATTATCATGGCTGCTGTGAGATGGAGGGTGAGAGAGAGTAAACTGCAAGCCACACCCAGACAAGCTGGACCTCTCTCCATTTCTCGGAAACACCCACCCATCTCACTCTCTCACTTTTCTTCTATCAACTATGTCTGTGTCATCACCTCCCATGAAGAAAGATACATATTTCTCAGTCTTTGGAAAGAACCTAACATATTCAAGATCTTCTTTCAATTTAGAAAGCTGCTCGGCAATCTCTGCCTCTTTGGACTGGCCAGATGAAGCACGTTGCATTTTCTCCAAACGTCTTATTCTCCGTTCAATCTTTCTTCTCTCTAACCATTGCAAATATTAGTTCCAAGAGTCATGCACAACACTAACAAGCCATGTAATTACTGCGAACATAAATTTGCAACAAAATGTAATGATAAACACAAAATGAATAATATTTTACCAAAAAACTTAATTTTTCTGTCACGCAAGAATATTTTACGTTCCACAGCAAGTCGATTGTGAATCTCTTGTTGTTTCTTGATCCCTTCTAATTTCTTTTCTTGAGCCTCTCTAACTTCAGGTGAAAGATCCTTAAAAAGGTACCATTGAGTTAGAAAGTAACCAAACTCCAGGAACCAAAAGAATAGAACTATTCCACAATAAAACTCATGCGGTTCTGACATGATAGAGTGGAGACTTTCCTCCTACAGTATTAAAGATTCCCATAGCAATGAAATATTTTTGGTTCAAGCTATTCACAGTTTCACACTAAAAAGGAGCCATTTTCACAAGTAACCATCAGTTCCTGGAGAGTGGAGACTGAAAATAATGAACATTTATTATTACCTATAGATTACTAATGTTGAACAAGTGCACAAACCACATAATAAAAAGAGGAAGTTTACTGAAGATGGTCCTAAACAAGGCGACAACAATGGCAATAAAAAGTTTAAAGGTAAATGTTATAACTGTGACAAGACCGAACATCGAGCTTCTGATTTGCTGCTGCCTTAAGAAGGATCGTGAAAGTACAAGCAAGAAGACCACTAATCAAACCAATGTGACAGAATTAGATTACATCTTTGACGGGGTAAATAACATCACTCTCTGTAAGAACCTGAATTTTTAGACAACTAATTAGTTTGTTAATAATAATATTAAGTCAATCAATAATGATTATTAAACTATTATAATGTTAATAGCACCATAATTAATACTAATATTAAATTCTTTTAAATAAAATTATTTATCTAGCTGTGATTAAGTTTCTGTATCTACATACAGTTGTGGAAACTAAATGAGTTAAATAAATAGTAACTGAATTTATCAGAGGATAGTAGAGAGCAAAATATCTAGTGACTAGGTTATATATATTCATTGATTTTATTCTTTAACACACACACATAAACTAGCAAAAAAAAAAATAAAAAATAGGGGAGGAGGCCGGCCATGAGTCAACCCTCATGGGGAAGGATAAATTTTGTCTTATATGAAGATGCCCCCTCAAAAGTGCAGCCACTTTTGGATGCTCGATCTAAATTTTTCTCACCTTTGAGTGTAGGGGTGGGTTATCATAAGTGTGCCATATGGGATAGGCAGCCCACCAATGACCATGCATGCATGTTTTCTCTTACCAATCCCTTGTCCAAGTTTTCCCTCCCATTTTAGTCTATATAAGAAACACAAAATCCTCCAGCACAGAACTTGAAAAATTCGGCTGGAACAAGAGAGAAAAAGAGGGAGAGAAAACAAGAGGGAAATGAGAGAAGAGAGGAGAAAAAGAGCTCAACACTTGAGATTTTTTTTTTTTTAAACTTCATTAAAGTAAGAATACTCAACATCTATCCTCCCCTAGATTTTTTTTACTAAATCTATATATCAAAAATATGCAAGAGTATGTATTGTTAATATCCAATAACTCAATGCATATTGATGATAGAATGATGATCTTATGATTATGTGATTTCTATCCTTCTTGCAAGTATATATTAGGGGGTCTAGTTACTGATTTTTCTTCTTATGTGTTCAAATATTTTCTATTGTTTGAATTAGTTTTGCATACTTATGAATTTGTGTTTACTCCTCATAAATATTATTTTTATATATTCCCTGTCACCACTAATGAAAGTAAATATGAAAGATTAGAGTTTCACATGGGAATAATAGCAATAAACAATTTTTGTAGTCATGCATGTGATTCATGGTGAATACAAAGTGTGTGTGTGTGTTTTTTTTTTCACAAAATACTGAACTTCCAGGAAAAACAGATTTTTAATCCATTTTGAATTAACCCAAACAAACTCATGTGAACACTTTCATAAAATCTGAAACTACTGGAGTAGTTTAACATGCTTTCATGGTGCTAGAATAAAAAAAATATATATATTTGACAACGTTTCATGGCCAAAACATATTTTTAACTTCATTGCTGTTTGGAGGCAGTAGCAATGCTGACTTTACTAGGTCACCGTTTATTCTACAGAGTGAATTTTCAAGTGATTCAAATTGGAATGGTTATATTTTTAAGTTACCTTTCAAATTCTGCTGGTTTCGTAATTTTTTTATTAAGTATTGAGATAGAAACGCCAATTTTTCCAAAATGTGACAGAATCTGTCCAGTTTTCTTAAAAAAATTATTTGACCATCTTCCATTGGGTTTCAATTTTCAAACTCTTCTGGAAAAGTGTTCTAAACTCAAATATCTAGCAACTTGTTCTGACCATACCTATTTTTGACACCATTTGAGGCCCCTTTTTATTTTTCAAATACAGATCACATGTGCATGAAGTTGATATACCTCACTGTCCCAGAAAAACTAGTTTTCTTCCGAAATTTATTTCTCCACTTTAAAATCGTTTTTAGCCCTGGTATTCTTCTTGAAATATTTTTCTAACTCGATGAACTAGCACTAGTTAAAATATTGTAATGGTTGAACTTCGTTTGATTTGGGTTTCATATTTTTTTGGTCAAACCATACAATACTGAAAGAAGAAGTGCGTGAATTCCTAAGAAACTTTATGATGAGTCCTAAGACATTCTGTCATATCTATTTTGGTTGCCATACATGATTGTGTTGTGCTATATAAACATTATGATACTGTGGTCTTCAAACTAAAACTCGTACATGCATGAAAATGTGAATTAGACAAAGTAAAGAAAAACGAAATTGAATCGATACATTAGAATTTAAAAGTGATGGGGTGAGTCCGGTTTAGAATCTTGCACAAGTAAGTTGCGAACCCTAACATGGCACGAGAAGGTATTTCGGCTCTTATCGATATAGGCGATATAAAGTTGGTGGTACAGATGCCACATCATCGACCGTTCGCTTGGGGCAGATCGTGATGTCACGACTCGGGTACGTAACCTTATTGCATGGGCATCATTGGTAGTTACAGCGAGTAACATTTGAATAATTGACCAAGGGGGAGTCAGAATTGCCCGTGGCCATTACTTAGCGGTTGAGTAGAAATAGTGCTCCGCAAGGAGTTGCTTAAACTTATCTAATAAACTAAATCTATGTGAATTTAAAAGAAAAGTTGGCATTTTTCCTTATGATAAAATACTGTTTCCGCTTGCCATTGTTCTTATTATCTATTGTTATTACTTCAACTGATAGCATTCCTGTTATGCTTATTAAATGTTGTTTGTTATTCTATTACTAAACAGTATTCATTAATTGTGAATATTATTATCGAGGTGGGTATTTTTGGGTTATAGTATCTTATTGAGCTCGTCGCTCATTGGAATTCTTGTTACCCTGGTGTTTTATGCCAGGTATCGAAGAAACCGAAGGAAACACTAAGGTGTTGGAAGGCAACATTCAGCCCCGGTTAGCTTGAAGCGTACCAAAGTTCCATAATCCATTTTTCTGAGTTTTCTAGTTTTCTTTTTTTATATTTGTGTTATTTTTATTTTTATTTTTTTTGTACTAAGACTAAGTTGAAAATAAAAACTTAAATTTTCTGGGTTGTTAATAAATGGATGTTAGTAATATTGGTGGCAATATTGATTTTAAGTCTAAATCTTATTATGATGTCCTTAAATTTTGGGGCGTCACAATCTCTCTGCTGTGGTGTCTAAGGCTAATTTGGTTAGAAATCCCAAAGAATAATGGGTTGACAGTGGGGCAACTTGTCATATTTGTGCGGACAAGAAGATGTTCACTACTTACAATGAGGCTGCAAATGGTGAACAACTTTTCATGAAAAATTCTTCTACTTTTACTATGGCTGGACAAGGAAAGGTGATCTTGAAGATGACATTAGGAAAAAAACTTACCCTCAACAACATATTGCATGTACCAGACATCCGAAAGAATTTAGTTTCTGACTCTTTGTTAAGTAAAAATGGTTTTAGGCTTGTATTTGAGTCTGATAAATTTGTATTATCAAAGAGTGGTATGTATGTCGGTAAAGGATACATGAGTGATGGTCTCTTTAAGTTGAATGTAATGACGGTTGTACCAAAACTTGCTATTAATAAGAATAACACATCTTGATGCTTTGCGTAGATTAATTGGTTTGGATTATATACCAAAGTTTGAAATTGATCTAATCACAAATGTGAGATTTGTGTAGAAGCAAAACTAACTAAAACTCTATTTAAATCGGTTGAAAGAAAAACTGAACCTCTAGAATTAATTCATACTGATGTATGTGATCTTAAATTTGTTCAAACTAGAAGAGGCAAAAAGTATTTCATAACATTTATCGATGATTGCACAAGATATTGTTATGTATATTTACTTAGAAGTAAAAATGAAGCCTTAGAAATGTTTAAACTCTACAAAACTGAAGTTGAAAACCAACTTGGTAAAGCCATTAAAATGGTTAGAAATGATAGGAGTGATGAATATGATGCACCATTAAATGAATGGCATTATTCACCAAACTGCAGCACCCTATTCTCTACAGCAAAATGAAACTGCTGAAAGAAAAAATAGAACCCTTAAAGAAATGATGAATGCTATGTTACTAAGTTTGGACTTACCGCAGAACTTGTAGGGGAAAGCAATATTGTCTGCTAATTATGTTATTAACAAAATACCTCACAAGAAAACCAACAGCACTCCTTATGAATTATGGAAAGGTCGACCACCTTCTTGCAAATATTTAAAAGTGTGGGGGTGTTTGGCAAAGGTAGAAGTTCTTGTTCCTAAAAAGACTAAGATAGGGCCAAAAATAGTGGATTGTGTGTTTATTGGTTATGCTCAGAATATTAGTGCATATCGGTTTCTGACTTATAAATCAGAAACACTTGATATAAATGTGAACACTATTATAGAGTCAAGGAATGCTGTATTTTTTGAACATGTCTTTCCTTACAAGAAATTATAAGAATTAAATTCACATAAAAGAACTTATGATTGTACACAAAGTCAAGAGACTAATGACAATCAAACACAAGAGACTAGTAATGGTTTCGACCAACAGGATTTAACTGATGATAAACCAAGATGTAGTAAGAGAGCAAAAACATCAAAATCCTTTGGTCCAGATTTTCTGACATACCTGTTAGAAAATGAACCTCAAAACTTCAAGGAAGCAATGACAGGTCCTGAAGCACCTTTGTGGAAAGAGGCTATTAATAATGAAATTAAATCCATTATGCAAAATTATACTTGGGAATTGGTGGATCTTCCATCTGGTTCTAAACCTCTTGGATATAAATGGATATTCAAGAGAAAAATGATAGCAGATGGTTCAATAGACAAGCATAAAGCAAGACATGTAGTAAAAGGTTATAGACAAAATGAAGGTCTGGACTATTTTGACACATATTCTCTTATG